CCACAGTTAAATTGAAGAGGTACAGGGTAGTCCTAGCCAGTTTTGTTCAGTAGTTAGAGCATCAGCTTATGGACTGAAGGGTACCAGGTTCGATTCTGGTCAAGGACACATGCCCAGGTTACAGGCTCGATCCACAGTAGGGGACATGCAGAAGGCAGACAATCACTGATTCTTTCTCATCAGTGATGTTTCTTTCTCTCTCTCTCCCTCTTCCTTCCTCTCTGAAATCAATAATATATATATATATATATATATATATATATATATATATATATATATATTTCAGTTATCCATTTATGCAAGTGGGAATATCACTACCCTGTACCATTTTACATATAAAATGGTACAGGGTAGTGATATTCCCACTTGCATAAATGGATAACTGAAAATATTTAGTGCCTCATCCTTACATTTTCTGGATAAAAAAAATTGGGACCTAGAGATTATGTCACAAGTCATGGAGCTTATTTACATCATAGCCAAAACTAAAACTGGATCTTTTAAAAATAACAAACTAGGAACCACTTGTTCTCCACTCACAGTAGAATTAATTTACATGTCAATATCAACATTTTATTTATTTTCAGCAATATAAAATCCTTGCATGAAAAGGGTTTTATACTTCTGCAATAAAATATAAAATAGACAAATCAGTCAAGTGCTGGAGAAAAAGGAATCCTCGTGCTCTGCTGGTGCAGCCACTGTGGAGAACAGTACAGAGTTTCCTCAAAAAACTAAAAATGGAACTCCTATATGACCCAGTAATCCCACACCTAGGAAACTAGAAACACCAATCAGAAAGGATTTGTGCACCCCTATGTTCATAGCAGCACAATTTACCATAGCTAAGATTTGCAAACAGCCTAAGTGCTCATCAGCAGGTGAGTATATTAAAAAATGGCAGTACATCTACACAATGGAATACTATGCAGCTGTTAAAAAGAAGGAACTCTTACCATTTGCAACAGCATGGATGGCCCTAGAGAACATTATGTTAAGTGAAATAAGCCATTCAGAGAAAGATAAGTATCACATGATCTCACTCATTTGTGAAATATAATGAACAACATAAACTGATGAACAAAAATAAATCGAGATATAGAAGCATTGAAAGAAACCGTCTAACCTCAGAGCAAAGGGGAATCAGGGTTAAGAGATCAACCAAAGAACTTGTGTGCATGCATATAAGTATAACCAATCGGCACAGAGAGTAGGGGGTGAGGGCATGTGCTGGGGGTGGGGGGTGTGCTAATGGCCAGGGAGAGGTCAATGTGGGGAAAAGGAGACGTATAATACTTTAAACAATAAAGAATTACACAAAAAGATTTACCACACTTAGGTAGTGACAAAACAAAGTTTATCTAGAAAATAAAAAAAGAGATGGAAATAAAATAGGACTTCATTAAATACTAACTGTGATAATTAAAACACACACACACACACACACACACACACACACACACACACACAGACAAATAAGAGGCCTTGTTCCTCCAGTCTCACTCATGTTCTAACAAGATGCCTCAGTGAGAAAATCTCTCTAACCTGGCTGTTCTTGTTTTATGCTGATGATTCTAAACACATTGGCCTAAAAAGTGTCAGAGAGAAGCCCTGGTAGGGCAGCTCAGTTGGTTAGAGTGTTTTCCCCAAAAGCCAAGGTTATGGTTGGATCCTGGGTCAGAGCACATAAAAGAATCAACCAATGAATGCATAAATAAGTGGAACAACAAATCAATGTTTCTCCCTCTTTCTCTCTCCATCTCTCTAAAATAAATAAAATTTTATAGTGTCAAAGAGATAAACAAGACAACTGTGAATATATATATATATATATTTTTTTTTTTTTCCAGCAAGAGAACTATGAATTTATATAAATTCTATTGAAGCACTGTCTATTGAATCTTTTGGAAATGTATTGACAACAAGAACTCTGCCTAACAATGGCTTTTGGAAGAGAAGTTTATTTTACCCTCATATCAAGAAGTCTAAAGGTGGGTCTGTGGTATTGGCTCAGCAGCTCAGTGCTATCAGAGCCCATGCTTCTCTTGGTCTTTTCTTACGGGCCCACAGTGGCTGTAACTGTTCTGTGCATTATACTTGTGCTCAAGTCTAGAAAAAGGGGGAAGGCTGAAGCTGTTACTGCAGCTTTCATTGAAGAACCAAAAGCTTTTCCAGAATCAGTACCACATCCCCCATTATGACATACTACCATAGGGTCCCATTTGCCAGGACTGGGATTACAGGGACACCCTAGTGGCAAGAGAGACTAGAAAAATTAAAAACAAAGTTATTGTTATGATTGGCTAAGTTTAATGCTGCCTTGGACAAAATAAGGCTTCTCTTGGCAAGGAATGACATAGAGATAGGAGGGGGTAGGAATGAATCAGCAACAAACAGTAACCATTTATTGATTGTTTAAAGATAGCTTGAAAATAATTTGTCTATATTTTTAAAGTTGACATAGAAATTATTGTGAATAAATAGAATATAGATTTACTAATGAATTCATAGTAGCTATTGTATGCACCTTCTTAAATAATGAAATTTAAAAACATAATAAAGCTTACTACAGTTAGTTCCTCTATAATGCTTATTTTGAAAACACAAATTTGTACCAATAAAGAGGAACTATTTGAGCCTAATACAGTTTCATATTTTCTTATGTGTGACTTCATGTACTTGAAATACTAGGTGAATGCAGAAAACTCTATCCAGATGCCCTGAGCCACAAAGAAGTACACAAAACTCACACATGTATGTTTCTTAAAGTGACCAGTGATCAGTTTACTGCCTGTGGCCCCACCCACACCTGCTCACTGCTGGCAGTGTTTCTTCCCATCTGATTTCAAATCTCTCTTCTGCTATCGTTTCACTCATAAGCTATGATCCTATGACTTCTTTATTAAATTTTTAACTTTTTAATTTTATTTTTGAACCTTCAGTTCTTTTTCAAGATAAAGTTTTACATTTATTGTAACATTTATGTATTTCTTAACCATCCATCACATGTAAAGCTATACTATAAATTTTTGTTTGTTTGCTTTCTATCTGCTTTTTATAAGTCACTGACAAAGTTTATGAGTGCTGTGTGTCTATCCCATATTTCCTATAAATACTGTAGTTCTTGTTGGTTTTTTGTATGCTCACCTTAGGATATGTTTATTAATCTTTGAGAGAGAGAGAGAGAGAGAGAGAGAGAGAGAGAGAGAGAGAGAGAGAGATAGCTTGATGTGAAACAGAAACATCAATCAATTGCCTCCTGCATGTGCCCCGACTAGGAATTGAACCTGCGACGCAGGTATCAGACCTACAATATTTTGATGTACCAAATGATACTCCAACCAACTGAGCTACTGGGTCAGGACGGTCTTGTAGTTTTAATTATACAATTTGTAGTAGTGCTATGTCTAATAGTATGTCTGTTAGAAACCTGGTGAATGCACACAATCATATTATATACATATACCAGTATTTATATACAATATTAGAATACAATTTATTCATTTTAAACATGAATCTAGAAAGCTTGTTTTACATCTTAGTAGTGAGTGCACCATTAAAAGTATTTATTAAATCTGGTTGGAAGGGCTTGCTTTAAAAAGATGATCAATTGAATTAAATAAAAGCCATTCAATATGCCAGGCTATATATAGGTGTCTCTGAAGTGGGTGACGATTTCTCATTTATTTTTGAAGGAAATTGTGTGAATTGTATTCAGCCCACACCTCCTGAGGAGGAAAGTGGTTTTTATCTCCTTTTCCTCCTTCATAAACCTCATCTAACAAGAGTTAACCATGATTCAGTATGGGCAGCACAAAGCTGAATTTTGGCCATCCCTTTGCACAAAAAACGAACCTGCTTTCCTCCTTACGTCTTTTTTTTTTTTTTTCCTTTAACGAGGGCATACAAGCCAGTCAGCACATCCCCAGAGCTTCTTAGAACCTCCCCCTTGAGAAATCTCAGTGAGTAAAAGGAAAAACAAGGCTAAAAAATTAATGGAAGGCCCATCACTGTTTGCCTTCCTCCCAGTCCTTGCCCTGCACACTTTCTACTTTCTACATGTATTTTCTGTTTCAAACATTTTTCCTCTTCTTTCCCCAAGGTGAGCTGCCTTTTCACTCCATCTGCGAAAGGGATGGGGAGAAGATTATACAGAAATCACACCTTGACACGATGCTTGTGTTCCGAGGGGCAGGGCTGGGACCAGGAATCGACTCATTTCAGGCGGGGGCAGCCGGGGAGATGAGACATCCCAAAGGCTCGGGCAGCCTCTTTGAACATCCTCTTTTCTTCCTGTGCTTGTGACAGACCTCTCTCAAGTTCAAATCCTTGTTTCCTCAGGAATGCGGATCAGGGGGTTTGGCAAGTATGCTTTTTAGTACATAATCTCCGGATGGATGCTCATGACTGACTGTGCACAGCGATCCTGCAAAATGATACTCTGTATGATGAAAATGCAAACTCTCAGCCTCACACCAATGCCGTGGCCACTCCAGCTAAAAGATCATGCCCAAGCCCACATCTACCTACTGGTGCCCTCAGGGCACCTGGGCACACCCATCAGTACACAGGGAACCCATCAGCTACAGGTTACACTCTGTACTTCCCTTGCTCCCCGCCTCACCTTGTTCTCTTTCCTTTCCCCTCCTCTCCTTTCCCCCTCCACCCCCAGCCCTGGCCCCACACAATGGGATTGTTGTTTTCCTCCGGAGCATGTGACAGAGGAGTCCCTGCTTTGCCTAGCTCTGTGCTGCAGGTCTCTCAGGTAACAGGTGGCAACTTCCCCTGTTGGATTCTAGGTGTTAAGAAGAATGAGCTCATAGGGGCGGGGCTCCGGGACTCCGAACAGGTGGCAGTTACAACCAGGTAACCCTGGAGCGAAGCCGGCTAGTTAGAAGGAGGCAGCTGAACTCGTCACTCTGGTGGCTTTAACCCTCGCCCTGAGGCACGGTAGCCACCAGCCTTTGCCTGCAGGCCTCTGCAGCGTGTCTTTGCCTCCGATGGAGCCCGAAGAGGCCACGGGGAAAGGACACATGGGCACCAAGAAAAAGAACCTGACCTTCTTGAGGTCCCGGCTCTACATGCTGGAGAGAAGGAAGACCGACACTGTGGTGGAGAGCAGTGTTTCTGGGGACCACGCTGGCACCCTGAGGAGAAGCCAGTCTGACAGGACCGAATACAACCAGAAACTACAAGGTAACCACGAGAAATCCATCGTCCCAGGTTCCTGACCCCCCAGCTTTCTTTCTCCTATTCTTCTTCCACCTGCAGAGAAAAGGCGTAAGGCAGAGGAGGAGATCGAATATTACCTCCTCTCTAAGAGGGAAATAAAAAATAAAATGGAAGTAAATGTAATTCAGAAATGATTGGAACAAGTGATTGCCTGCTTCAATAGTTCAAAAGCCAATTCTGAATTGTTCTTCCTATTGTGTTTTTTTTCCCCCCTTCTTTTTCCTTATGATAAGAGTAACAATTTTTTTCTGCTTCCTGCCCTCCTTCCTTCCCCCTTGTCCACCCGACTCCAGGAGTGGAAAGCACTGGAAAGGAAATAGTTTAGAAAGCTACCAAGGAGAGTTTATCTCAATAGGTAGGTGTGAGGTGTCGCACGTGAGATCCATCTAGGTAATTGCACTGAACTGTGATTAAAAAGGGGCACGAAACTACAATCACGTCTGTGAAAAATAAAGACTTGTCAGCGGGATGGTATAACAGGATTTGTTGTTGAAAATCACTTAGGTCTTCATTCCTTTAGAGTGAATCAAACAGCATCCATGTATGGTAGGAGATGTTTAGCATGTTTGGATTGAATGACTTTTGAGGAAATAACTTCAGTGTAGTTTGTGATGATTGTGAGATCATTTGACACAGTTATTATAATATAGCCTCTATTTCAGGCCTTGGATTTCTCTATCCCTTCCCATCTACCCTCTTTTTCCTCCTCCTCTTTTTCTCTTGAAGGTCACTTACACCAGGAAACTTAATTTGAATGTTTATATTGTGCAATGTTTTAAGTATGCACGGCCATACATACCTGTTATATGAGCCTCGGACCTTGTCTCTTCCTCTGTAACCACATTGTGTGTGAGCTCTCAGAATCCCACCACAACTGTCATTCTGGATTGAAACACTGTAATAAGGCCAGAACTACCAATGGGACAAGCTAGTCCTTAACTGGTCTCTTTAATCAAAAACATGCTTGCACTTAGTTATGCAGGTTAAAAGAATTAAATCTTTGAAATTCTTACCGTGAGTTTTTGTTTTTGTTTTTTTGTGTTTTTTTTTTTAAACCCAATAGCTCAGAAGTAAAATGCAGAGTCAAGTCTTAGTCTTAAACAATAATGCAACTATTTTTTTTAAATGGGGGAGGGATGACATTTGATCTTTGAAATTAATTATTCTCAAGGCAATTGATACTTTGGGGAAAATGCAAATGTTAAAAGTCAGACACATTTGTTTCTAATCCTGCCTCTTTAATTTACCACCTGTAAGGCTAATTACTCAAGATTTCTGAGCTTCAATTTTCTTGTGAAAATGGGATATTGAAACTATGTACTACTATTAGGAAAATGAAATTAGATAATTGCATAAAACATCTCCTATAGTGGCTAACACATGGCATGTGCTCAATAAGCAGTAGTTATTCTTAATTTTAGGAGCAATGGATACCATAATGATAGAACAGGACTTACCTTCTACTTACCTTCAACTAATCTATGTCAACTATTTTCTATCCTTGATGAAGAGATCACATTGAGCGATTCTGGCAAAGCCCACTGCTGTATTCCCAATAACATATTTCTTCTTCTGAGATTCACTGAATTAGCATCTTTTTTTTTTTTTTTTTGGTACAGATTTTCCATTAGCAAAGTAAAAATGGAAATATTTTTCACTGTTTACTTCCTAAACTTAACTGAAAAAATAAGTCTATGACCACAAAATACAGCCAATGTTTGTTAGTTACTCTGGTAACTAACTTCAGGTTTCTTGTACACTCCACTGGATTTGTTACTGTCCTGTGCTCTGTTGGATCTTGTCTTTGAAGGTGAAAGAAAAGACTCAGGAGTGAAGCTGTGTTCCTAGAACGACCTATGCTGGAGGGAAATTATCAGGGAGTTTGTAGGAGCACACCAGACCTGTAGGGATAGTCTGATCTTCTAATAAGTAACTTTTTAAAGACGTACAGTACAACCTCGTTTCTCAAACTTAATTCATTCTGGATGGCTGTTCAAAAACCAAATCATTTTTCCCATTAGAAATAATGTAAATTGAATTAATCCATTCCAGACTTCCAAATGATTCCGATTTAAGCTTTCTTATACACAGTACATGCCAAATGCACTGTATAATCTATAAATAAACACATAAAAAGCACATGAAATGTAAATAAAAATTTAACAAAAAGGAAAGGAAATGTACAGTAAAAAATTAAAATTTAATAATAATTAAAGCGGCAATTAAAAAACCCCACAAAAATATTCATAGCACAATATTCTGAGATTTTAACAGTGATCAACTGACTCATATACACACATTGTCTCCTGAGTACATGTGACTGACCATACAGATATCAGCCTGAAAGGGTTTCAGATTGTTTGAGATGGGAGATGTTTGAGAATAGAGGTTTGACTGTAGCTCTTAGTAAAACCCAAGTGTGATATCTAATGGGTAATACAGCTTTTAGTATGATTCTTCTCTAACTACTTTGGCAACAATATAAGGCATTTTCTCATTAACGTTCAAAGCAATCATTTCTATGGGTTTGTGCTCTGGTCCTACTATATCCATTACCCTGAAGATGAGTCCTAACCATCTAAGAAGCTCTTTATTACTGCAATGTGGAGAGTTTTTGCCCTGCCTACCTTAGACTAGGTAATTCCCTGGGAGGCACTGAATGAAGACCTGAACTGGTTAGAGCACTCAGAGAGATGGCCTGCAGCCATGTGGGGTCACAGTGTACTTTCATCTACTGGAAGGCTGCCTCAAACTGTTTAGTCACTTGTCAGTGCTATGTTGCTATCTGAGTATTATAAGTAGCTGCTCTAACTCTCTCTCTGGAAGGGAGTTCTGTGTGTTCTGGGAAATGTAAGACCTTTTTTCTTGTGCCCCTGTGCTTGCCTCTTAACTCTTAATATACTTGTTCATTCAATTTCTGACAGACATCACTTTAGTAGTATGATATTCTAAATTGTACTTTTTAAAGAAAGAACACTGGGTAAAAGCTACTAACATGTTTCCCAGAAAATAAGACCTAGAGCATGGAAAGATAAGACATCTCCTGAAAATAAGACCTAGCACAACTTTGGGAGAAAAAAAATTAATATAAGACACTGTCTTATTTTTTGGGAAACTGGGTAGATTGAACAATAGAACATGGTTTTGATGAGAATACCATAAAATCTTTATGATATTGTGGTCACATAGTCACTCCTACTAAGCCTCAAGTTGTACAGTGCCAGCCTATTGTTAGTGGCTTTTTTATTTCAGTTCATTTATTGGAAATGTTATATGGTAAAGCAAAACCAGTACATATGCCAGGAATTCCAACTGCAAAATCATTATGGGGAAAAAAGTCTGACCTTTACTCTACAGGAGCTTAACCGTCTCTTTGGGAAAGATAAGACAGGTAAACAAATATAATAAAGCGACAGGATAGAAGTGGAGGTGAGATCAGTGGGTCCACAAAAGTAGGAGATGATTTATTCAGGATTGAGTGGGACAAGTTGTTAGAAAATATTAACAGATGATAAGGTGGGGATGAGGACAAAGGGGCAGAATGGGGGGTGAAGCGAGTTTTAGCCTCTTCATTGCACTTACCTTTGTCTGAAATTAAAAATACGTTGCTTGTTTTGTGAAACGTGGGGTGCAGATTGTTCTTCTATGGGTCTTTGGCCTACAAAGTTGAAGAATAAATTCATGGCCTAAAAGATTTCTTTAATAAAAATGTGGAATTTTATTGTAAGTGTATACAAACTCTCCCTGAGGAAGGTTCCCCAAGTAGGAAAAATTTGCTCACTCTCTCTCTCTAATGGGAAAAATAAAATAAAAATCTAAAATCTGCTGAGTCTCTTTGTAAAGGCTGTAGCTCTTTGTCTGAACATGACCTTTTCTAATTGGACCCTTCCTTAATTTAGGATCCCCGTGCTTTCCTCATTGGTCACTCGGTTGCATAGTATCAGTTTCAAAGGTCAAAGCCCATGTGGTGCCCCCTTCTTATCTCCTCCTTATCTTGCAACATTCCTTTATCCTCTGTGAAAATATGGTTCCCTCTTCCTGCATTTTATGACTTTTCTTTATCCTCTGTGAAAATATGCCTGCCTCATATAACATTTCTCTATCCTCTATAAAAGTAAAGTAAGCATTTTCGTGTCTCCAAGCCCCCATTTATGCATTTCTCTCCCATGAACCCCTATTATTTCCTAAGACTCCCTGTCTTGTCTCCAAAATTCCTTTCACTTGTTTATTGCCTATTACTGACTTTCATTATTCTCCCATCTTTCACTCCCCAAACACTCTACATAACTGTTCCATCTCTGAACTTAGAATCATTCCCAGCATATGTGAGCACTCAGTAACTTTCAAGTAGGATGAATGATTGGAATGATCTGGTTCAGGATGGACATGAGTGTGAGGCAAGGCATCAAGCCCTGAATTATGAACTCTTGTGTCTTCATATGTGAGGATAGAGGTATCCATTAATAAAATGATACTTCAGTAAAAAGAAATAAACATAGCAGAGCTTAAAATAAACAGAATTAACTCTAAAACGAATAATTCTTAGTGGAAGCCAGTCTGATTCCCAGCTCTACCTTTTGAGCTCACCAGACCTCAGTTCATTCTTCTTCCATACAGAATGTGAGGACATCATCTCAGCTGCCTCGCTAGCTCAACTGCATTTGAATGGGAACCACAGAAAGTGATCCAAGCAGAGGAAATGTAATGATTGAGTTGGTAAACTACATTGTTTTTTTTGGTGGGGGGTGATTTATATATGATTTCTACATTTGACATTTGCTTGATTTAAATAGTTAAAAACAAGTGTATCTGTGTGTATGCAGATTACCCAATCTAATCTATTGTATATAGATATATAGTTGTGTATATACTTCAGATGTATATCTGTATTAATTAAAAATTTGCTATAAAAAGTGTATTGATTAACATTCAGCAGCCTTTTCTGAAAACCCTATATAATTGAT